CACCTAATGTAAGGTAGCCAACACATACTAAAACTTTAGAGTATGTGCAGAAACACACGTACAATGTAAGTAAATAATTTTTTTAAAAAAATTTCCTGTTCTTGGAAATTCGTATTTTTTCATATCTTACAAAATGTACAGTAGCGGGAAATGGGAAACACATTTTTTTGGAAATATAGTTTGCTTATATAAGGAAATACTGCTTTTTAGTAAACATGTCTAATGTACAAAATTTCTCCCAAATTAGATTTGATTATTGGTTGCCTAAATCTTCCTAAAAATTTCTCTGTTACACCAATTACTTCAAAGTCAGCTTATTAATATTCTATTCCTTTTGACTATATAAAATACAAAATATTTCAATTTTAAATGAAACTCTTAGTGCTGGAACTCACATTACCAATACCAGTTATTATTCCATTGGATGCTGGCATCCAACTAGTTTACTTCCAGCAAACCGGTAACCAGAAAACTTTCTTGTTGCATATCATTTGTTTTCCGTAAATTAGCGTTAAATATGCTGTTTTTAATAATACAGTCAAAAGTCGTTAATCCGGACTCGTCGGGACTTCGGCGATTCCGGATTATCGATTTTTCCGGATTATAGATCATCAGTTTAAATCTGGTAAGATGGCATGCAAAAATTACAAAATTAAAAATATGAAACCGTAATTTATGAAATAAAGAACAATTATGATCTAAAGGGTATCAAAATTTACAAAAAGAAAAAGCTTAATATTTATTTGTTTACTTTATTAAACATTTCCTTCAATGTAAGTTGCTTCGTTTCATGTGATAATACTTTCTCTTTAATTCTATTAAACAGACATAATTTCTTGTTTAGTTACAAAGTTCCGCTGTTCAAGTCCTATAATTGCTGTGTTGAGAATACCGACTAATTTGTCAATCGAAATGTTTTCGTTTTCAATAACCTCTGGGTCACTTTCTTCACTATCGGCGGAAGCGAATTATAATGACGAGGAACTTGATTTAAATCATATCAAAGACGGAGTACATCGAGATGAAATACTACACTTAGTACGGAATTATAAACCAAATAAAATAAAAACATCTGCTCTGAAGATAAGGATAGTGCTGACAGATCAACTTCCAATCCGCGGCGTGAAATTGATAAACAGATTTCGGATTTCAAAACATACTTTCGCTTTGTAGATACAAATTACATATTAGTAAATATATATCGGAAATTCTATTTGACATAATCTTTCTAATCTATCATAATCTAATAATGACGTTTCTGCCCCCCCCCTCTGCCGCAGAGCAGTGTGAAATTGATAAACAGATTTCGGATTTCAAAACATACTTTCGCTTTGTAGTAAATATATATCGGAAATTCTATTTGACATAATCGAAAGTTCAAGCTTACTTTTATAAAATTGCTCTCTAACAGTCTGCAAAAAATAATAAGCCGGATCCAATTCGAAGATTAAGGAACAACGCAATCTGCAACATTAACTGAATTAGATAACTTTAGCTTAGCGTATAACTCCGTTACACATTAAACGCGCATGCGCACAAACATATTCGCAGCCGTAAGGGTCTTACGCGCTCTCGTAAACGCCTGTGCGCATGCGTGAACGCGACGCATGCGCAGAAAGTTTGTAGCTTTGATGTCCGGATTATAGATCATTCCGGATTATGGGTGTCCGAATTAACGACTTTTGACTGTATTTGGCACTTTCTTATTGTCTGCACCCCAACAAAAATTTTCAAAAAAATATTCCTGAGGCAATGCAGTATGTCTCCAAAATAGTTATTTGGAACGTATGCATTTATACAAGTTACAAATTAAAACCAATTAAAAATTGCATTTTGATTTAAGAAATATAATATAATGCTGCTTAATTGCACAGGGTGACCAGTTTCTTAACCTTGTGCTGGTGTCCAACAGCAAGTACTACAATACAACTGATTCTGACTGTCTGTGCCTTTGCATCCAGATAACTAATATTTTTTCATATAGTTTATAAAGTTTCATTTAAAATTAAAATGTCTGATATTTTACATAACTGAGATGCAAAATATTAACATGCCAGCTTTGAAATAAATGATGGTTTGATTTTTAGTAAGATTGAAGCACCAAAGATTACATTTAACTCAGGAAAAATTTTATGTGTTGAATATATTTACTAAAGAGCAGCTTTTGATGAATATATTCTTTCTAATTCAATTTTTTGACATTAGAGTTAAAATACTAAAATGGGGAAAAGAAAATTGTAATCTTTAAATAACTAATTGCTTACTTTAGTAGATGTGCACTTTTTCTCTTTTTCTTACCATCTCTGAATCATTTATTCCCCTGTGTGACCTTCCAGTGTTCCTATTTTTTGAAAAGGTATGTGAATGAGCTGTCACAAATATTAGCACAATAGATGACTTGATTTATTTGTATATGGCAAAGTATATGAGGGCTATCTGCTTAAGAGGAGAGATGCTTCATAGAAGCCTTTCTAAGAGAACTGGATTATATTCACATTATATATGCTTGCAGAACAGAATATTGAATCAAAGCCACTAACTCATCTTCCTGGATGATTTTCTTTCTTTGGTCTTGTACTAGAGGTATTAAAAAAAGTTCTTGAGTTAGCATTTTAAAAGAGGTGAACCTAGGCACTCGAAAGAAAATTTTGTGTAAAAAATGCTTTTCTTCAAAAATGCATCCCCCTTTTGTCTGGAAGCAAAAAAAAGGGGGGGGGATTAAGAAACTTCTTTTTATGTATAGAGTAAATGATGACTTTGAACATTTAATCCTCCTATGTTTCAGACAGAGATGAAAATTTATCTTTGCTGATGAGAAATCAATTTTAGATGGATGTCACATTAAAGAGTATTCAATATAGTACTTGTTTATATTACCAATGGTGTAAGAAATAAATTTATAACTACAAATTTTCTAAATCAAGAATGAAAGAAAACTGTTGGCAGTCATATAAAATATGATGAATCAATATAAACTATAAATCGGGAACTGCTTTTTATGTACACTATTGATTAGAAATCCTTTTGATATTTTATGTGGCTTTATTATAAACTTTTTTATGGTTTGTATGTTAAACTTCAGTTTTTAAGAACAAGATACATATTGTCAATATTTTTATGAGAAAAATTTATAATTCATGTATAATAGTAATATTAAGATTTAAAAAAAAAAAAATCTTATTTTTTTTTTATTTTTTATTCTAAAACATTTTAAAGAGTTACAAATTATCAACATTTCAGTGATAAATACACTGCTTTTCAAGCAAGCTGTTCAGCATGCAAAAGGAATAATTCAGTTATCATTAAGTGATATTTGATAGCTAATACTTTTATAGTATAAAATCAATATCTTACATTTTAATTGTAAGTTTTCTATGAAAATTCAATGCTACTGCAATGAATATATTAATATACCTAAAACAATATATTCATTAACATTTAAAATTTCTGTTTACTATTTAAAATATTAGGTGGTACTTTTTTCTATGGTTTTTATTTTTTCTATGCTTATTTTAGACTTTCTTTCAAAGCAAATTTGAAAGTAATAATTAAATAAACATCTACTGTTACATTGTTGTATGTGTGATTGGGGTTAAATATTTATTGCTTCAGGCTCCTGACAGACTCTGAAAATGTAGTTTGCTTTATAATGTAATGTAAATGTTTCAAACATTAAGAAAGGATGTTCTTGATCTTTATATAGATATTGTGCTCATATCCATAATATACTATACAACTAATTCATTTTGATGGAGAAATAACAACTGTATTATTATATGGTTCATGTAGTTAAATCATAATGTTTTATTTTTATATCTTGTGTACTTGCATGTTCCTCCACCCCTAACATTTTAAGCTTATGATTTAGAAATTTTTGAATTATGACAGTAACATACAAGATATGAATAACTAGGGAAGTACACTGTGTGAGTAAAAACAGTAGTTTTGAAAGCATTAATTATAACTAACCTCTTTAAAATATTGAATGCATTAATATAGCTATTCTTATGCATATTTTAATTTATTCAGTTCTTTCTTTAACCCTTTGCGGCACAATGTGTCCAGTCTGGACACACCTAAAAATTTCCTTCTGTACGCACAGAAAAATTGAATGAAAAAGGATTTATAAGTTATTATAGGTTACTCTGAACCTTCTTTATTTATAGTAGATGGTAGCTCAACACCAGTCCATATATTTTAGCCACGTTTAGTTTTTTAAAACCCTCATTTTTCAAAGAAACCTTCCAGATTTTTTTAGGGTATAAAAGAAATTGTTTGAAAAGAAATTTCTATGTTATTTTTTTGGTAATTTCTATGTTATGCTAATCTCCTTATTCTATATTAGTTTTAAATTTTTACCTTGAAATCTTGCCTAAAATCAAACGGTGAACACTAGGTGTGCCCAGACCAGGCTCACCGATAATCTAGGACAACTGAGAGTCTGTATTCTTAGTTTCTCCGCATCTCATCGGTCAGTTCATTGACAACAATGCTCATTTCAAGCACTCTTTTCAAAGCTCTATTCAATCAGTGTGCCACTTTGGGCTCACCCACAGAATTAAAACGATAAGTGCTATCTTCACAAAATTTTACTTGTGTACTCCTCTAAGCCTGATTAGACTGCCTACTTTTTTTTTTTTAATCAAAACTCCGACTTTAAAAGGTAGCTTGCCGGAAAAGGTTAAACTTCCTCACAGAAATGCTGTACACTACATAATTTTCTCCTTTGATTTCCAAAAGATAGAAAATATGATAGGAATATGCAATTAAATATGCTTTATCAATAAATAGATAGTATAAGAATTTTTTCATTATGATAGGGAACTAGGAAAAAGCTATTATAGTATCACGTAATAAGAATCAGATTTATTTGTGAAGAATTTTGCTTTGTTTTATAGCATTCTGTTGACATTTTGACATAAAAATTGTTGAATTAATATTGTGCTTTAACCCCATCCAGTGTAATTATGGCTAAGATTCTTATTTATTATATGTTACAGAATAACAGGTCTTTTGAAAACAGGAGCCATGAAAGAACAGGATAAGCCAATTTGGTATGATGTATATAAAATTTTCCCTCCAAAATATGAGCCTGCATTTACTCGAGCTGCAGTGGAAAAAGAAATTAAACCTATATTTTATCCAGAAGATAATATAAGAGGGTGTGTATTATAGTGTGTGTATGTGTGAGAGAGAGAGATGATAATGTAATTCATTGCAGATAACTTGATATTAAGTAAGTGCTTGACTGGGAAAGACATTAGTTATTCTGAAGTTGTGAGTGATTGAAGTTAGATCATTGAAATATTGATTATGTAATAAAGATGCTGAAAACTTTTGAATAATTAAAAATCACTTAATAATCCAAACATATCTTTATTACTTGTTAATTACTCTAAGGCACAGCACATCACAATGGGAAAAATCTACGCACCACAGTTTTGATTATAACATGTTACATTTTCAACAATGAATAGAAGCAGCCAAACAAAAGACATTCTTTAGCTAGCAAGTGTAGGCAGGAAAAGAGGAGGTATAGTTAGTTGCAGTACTATTTATGAGCTTAAGAATTCTTTGTTTTAGTTCCAGATAGCGATTGGGCCAAAATTCACAGCAATGTGGGTAATGCAAGGAAATTGCAGATGCTTTGAAGGGGTTGTGCTTTAACTTGAAAATTAGTAATTTAAAAGTCTGTTTTCAATTTGTTCAATTAAATTTTAATTTGATAGTGTATTTTTCTTATTTTGATATCTTGCACACACACACATATATGTGTAAGATAAAAAAATATGAAAGCAAACTTCTAATTTTAATTGGCTATAACATCTTTTATTTTTTATTTAATTTGGAGACTTCCTCTCTCTATCTTAAAAATAGCGCTATAAGTCTAAACTGCATCATTCAAATTAATCATGCGATCTTACATAATGCTTAATGCAGATGCCTCTTGCCCAATCAAATAATTGTAAATAAAAACTTTTTTGACTCCCTCCCTTCTTCTGAATTGCTGCGACACTTTTGTTTAAGCTTTCCTCCTGGCAAGACGCTTTGTGGCTACTTTCTTTGTTCACGGAATATGTGCTAAGCTAACACAGATGTGGAGTGCATAAGATGCCTGTCGGGATGTGAACTAAATATTGTGAATCCAGAATTGTTTTCCTCAATAATAAAATTATCTTGAATCCGGCTATGTCTGCCTTGCCAAGTTTCTTCGCCATGCATCTATTACATCACCACTAAGTTCTAAATCATTCATATCGTGTCATTTAGCCGCAGTCTTAGTACATAAATATATATAATTACAAAACAATTTTTTAAAAACAAATATAAACATGACTGGTATTTTAACGCATTAAACTGCTGAAAAATTATCAGTAAAGCCATAGAGTAAGAAATTTAGAGCTAATCTTTTACAAAAACAAAAAAATTGAAGTTCATAATTATAAATTTCAAATAATCCTTGGTCTTTGTGAAAAATTAGTTCTAATTTTCTTACTTTATATATGTTTGTATAATAATAATTCTAAGTAATCAAGTAATTATGAGCAATTTTTGCATTAAAGCTGCTATTAAGAAATTAGTAATTTATTATTTGAAAAGTTTTTAATATATCATCTCCAAGGAACATAAATTTATTAATGCAATGAATCATTGGAATAGATTTCAATTTTCTGGTTTAAAATAATATTTCATCAACTTTAAAAAATATTTTTACTGCAATAGAAATCTAAATAACTTATACTTAAAGTATTGACTCAAATTTATTTCAATAATTCATCTCATTAATTAAATTTATGTTCCATGGATATGATATATAAAAAACTTTATATGTATATATATAATATTTTTAGATATTATTAAAAAATTTCAAAGTTTGTGTAATATGTGCAACAGAAAATAGAACTACGCTTTTGAAATTTAATAAAAGTTGTTAAATATTGTTACCATTGTTATTTAACACATTGGCAAAAATCAGATAAAATACTTTTGTCAGGCCATTTTTTAATTCTAGTTTTCTTGTCTTGTTTATCCTAAAAATTTCAGTACCTAGTCTGAGTATACTGTTATGAATATTTAATAAATATGTAAATAAACAGATAAATAAATAATAAAAATATATGAATAAATATTAATTAAACTTAAAGCATCTAAAGTTAAAATTAAATTGTAATCAAAGCAAGGAAATTCCTCAATAATATTATTGCATTTCTGTACGGTAGTGATGCATAACCTCTTTAGCAGAAGGGTCACTAACAGAAACGACTTAATTGCCATGCCGAGGGCCAATAGCGTATGGAAAAAATTGACATGCTATGCTATTGGCCCTCCGCAATAGCATATGTCGGGTGAGGGGGGTTCAGTGCAATAATTCACTTAATTTGCAATTCGGGCATGTACCATATCAAATCTAAATTGATTTGGAGACCATTATGTACGAGGGTAAGTTAAAAAATAAGTTTTCCCTGTCGACTGTGGTCAGAGTTGTGTATGAAAGTCAAAAAATAGAATGAGACATTAAAGATATGACATACCTTTATTTTATTATTCTCTTGCGAGTACGTTGAGACATTTGTCATATCGCTTGATAAGCTTCAAAAAGTCTTCCAAGAAAAATTCACGCTTTGCATATGGAAGAAGCGTTGAACTGCTATGGGCGAAAGGCGACACAGCAGGAAAACGCGCAAGTCACCGATACACCATTGGGTAGAGGTCGCTGCAAATCAAGCAGATGGTGCTGTTGCAGTGCCTGCGCAAAGCGGAGACCAGCCTCTCATTTGAGCCTCGGTAGGTATGGAGAGAAGGTGCGTTTTGAATTTGTGGTCAAAGGAGGAAGTGAGAGCGGTTATCTGCTATGAATGGGCATGTGGAGTATCAGGAACAGAAATTCATAACTGCCTCGTGGAAGTGTATGGGCCAGGTGTGATGTCGAAGCAAATGGTGTGGCGATGGTGTCGCACATTCAGTGATGGACGTCAGCAAGTGGAGGACATACCGAGAGCTGGACGGACGCGCACGACCACTACACATGCAAATGTCAGGAAGGTGGATGATATGATTAGAGCGAACTGTCGTATCACCATTGATGAAGTAGCGGAAGAACTTGGAATTTCACATGAGCGAGCTCAAAACATCATCCACGACATTCTTCGATACAGAAAAGTGTCAGCACGATGGGTGCCCCGACAATTGACCTCAACACACAAGGAACAACGCATGGAGGTCAGCCTGGAACATCTTGTGCGTTACCATGAAGATGGCAATGACTTTCTGTTTTGGATTGTGACGGGGGATGAAACGTGGGTCCACCATTTCACACCAGAATCGAAGGCCGCATCTATGGAGTGGAAACATCCGTCATCACCTGTCCGAAAGAAGTTCAAGACAACTCCTTCTGCAGGTAAAGTGCTCCTCACAGTTTTCTGGGACACCCAAGGAGTTTTGTTGCTGGACTTTTTGGAGGTTGGAACCATCAATGCTACGCGCTACTATGACACCCTGTCGAAATTGAAAGAGGCGATTCGGAAAAAGCGGCCTGGCCTTCTCACATCTGGCGTTCTGCTGTTGGATGACAATACCAGACCACATTCGGCGACGGCAACGCAAAAACATATTGCAATTCTTGGTTGGGAGTGCCTACACCATCCGCCATACAGTCCTGATCTCGCACCAAGGCGATCTGTTTTCCGGCTTTGAAGAAAATCTCGGGGAAAGGCGCTTTGGAAGCAATACTGAAGTGAAACAAGCCGTTCAACGCTTCTTCCATATGCAAAGCCCTGATTTTTTCCTGGAGGGCTTTTTGAAGCTTATCAAGCGATATGACAAATGTCTCAATGTACTTGGTACCTATGTGGAAAAATAAAGGTATGTCATATCTTTAATGTCTCATTCTATTTTTTGACTTTCATACACAACTCTGACCACAGTCGACAGGGGAAACTTATTTTTCAACTTACCCTCGTATGTATGTAAGCAAAAAGGGATGAGGTTTCCCTTTTCCCTTGCATGTGCTACTGGAGCCAAAATACCCAGTTCAGCTTGGAAAAAAAAAATAAATAAATACCGTTTATGCTTGTGCATGATAATTTATGCATGTATATAAATATTTTAATAAAAATCTTTATAAGTTAGCCATAGTTAAATACATTAGTGTGATGGTTGAGACTGGATTTTATCAACAATTTTTTATATATTTGGTTGAAAGTTAGTTTTTGATATTCTTAAGACAGATTGCAAGTGTTGATCTGTCAGTTTATTTCTCAATTTTGACTTATTTAGATTCATAAGAGAAAATGTTCGTTCACATATAGAAGTGCTACCAAAATCTGCTTGCATTATGCATTATTTTTTAAGCACAAAATTTCGGCAGGTAGAGTTCTATAAAAGTCCAGAATATCTGAATCACAGAATCTGAATTTGCATAAGTCAGAAGATCGTAAATAAGTTCTATTTGAGCATCTTCTGGAGCATCTTCAACTATAACAGAAAATGGATTCCTGAACAGTTTAAATTTAACCTTATGCAACTCAAAGTCTGCAAATCGCTTTTCAAAAGAAATAAGTGGCCTCTTTATTTAATCTGAATAATCCAGTTGTTTATCAGGAAAATTTTCTTTGAGTTTCTTCAGGTAAGGAAAATTGACAAAATTTTGACAGCTAAGCTGCTTTGAGAACAGCTGGAGTTTTAGTTTGAAAGCAGATACTGCATTGGCCAGGTGAATTGTTTTTTTCCCATCAATAAAAATGCTAAGTCACACTTGAAAGATGGTTCCTTTAACATCCTAATTAGCTTACCATTTTCTTCAAGGAATGGTATTATTTCATCAATCAAATCAGCAAACCTTTTCAAAGCCTCTCCACGGCTCAACCATTGTATTTCAGAGTAATATACGATATCACTATGTGGTGCATCTGTGTGTTCTAGGATTTCCTTAAATTGCCTGTGGTTTAAACCATGTGAGCGAATAAAATTTATTGTATCGTGCACTACTTTCATTAAATGGTCAAATTTTAGTTCTTTTGCACATATGTGTTCGTGGTGTGTGATACAATGATACCCAAGCAAATCTTTTCCTCTATCATCCAAATGGTTTCTCAGTAGACTCACTAGGCCATTCTGAATTCCAATCATGGCTGGAGCTCCATCAGTAGTGATACTAAAAAAT